TCTCTCGTGCGGGCGGCCGACGTCCCGTGTAAGCGACCTCTTGTTCGAGTGTCTTCGTTTCTGTTGCTTTTCACCTGTCCCTCCTTGTCACTTCGTCTCTGTGAGATGCTAACGCTGCTTCTTTCGAGCCAGCTTCAGCGGGCTGGACATCTGAGACCTTCCGCCCCGTGTGGGTGATGACCTATTTTTGATTTGAGAAACTTTTGATAATTGAGACCTTCCACCTCTTTGGTGATGTTCAACATGACTTTCGGTGCGAGATAGCTAAATAGCTGAAGCGCTAGTAAACATGTGGCCACTAAACTAACTAACTATCCGTCATGGCAGTGGTTACCCCTGGTGACAAGCCCACTATCATTGCCATTCATTCATCTCCCGTTCTCTCATACATCACGCCATCACTCTCATCCCTCTCATCTAGTATCACTCCAATCGTTTCCAGCCTTTCACTCTCGTAACGCTTCACACTCCAACGCCATGCGTCGGATGTTGTCTTCTTCAAACTAATCCTCATGTGATGCATCAGGAAATTGTGTTCATATGTCATATGTAATTGTAATTTTGCTTACTTGCTCGCAATTTCTTATCCATTTTCGCGTTTTGCTTATGATGGTTCTATTTGTTTGAGATGCTGTGCGAGATGCTATGTCGTATTTATACGGTGTAATAAACCATATGTATAAAATCAGGCTATTGTACGTGGTACAGATTTATCAGAATATAATTATTGTTAGACAATAATTAGAAGTAATTTATGGAGTACGGGCTGACTCGATTCAAATCTTGAATCAATTAATATTTGTAATGATTACACGCAACTTACGTGGGCCTGACATTTATGCAGACACCCCGCCAGCTTAAAATATTTACACAAGATGGCTATATTCAGGCTCCCTTGTATACCAAGTGGAGGGGAGACCATGGCCCCTCCATGTTCGTGCGTGTTTCCTGCTGGTTTGTCCTCTTATTTTGCGTTCGTAACGGTCCACGTGCTGCTTGCGATTGCAAGGACTATCTTTAGTTTGGAACCGGACCTAATCTTTGCACCAAGTCCATTGAATTTTGTGTCAGACGTTACAGCACAAATGATCATCTGGTGCGGTAATCAAATATATTTATGTTTATTAGTATCCCTATTGATAATCAATTTCTAGTCGACCTGATGCTGACATTTTCTCTGAATAACAGATAGAAATTGCAAATGCGTATTCATGAATGTTTATGTTCCAGCTTCTGGGGCTTGCCCTGCTGGGCACGACGCTCTGGATCTACCTGGACGACACGATGCTGGCACCCGTGGGCGCTGCTGACATGGAGGGCTACAACCACGTCATCTACTTCCTCATGGTCGTGGCTGCCATCATGACCGTCATGGGCTTCATCGGATGCTGCGGTGCCCTGCAAGAGTCGCAGTGCATGCTGGCCACCTTCTTCGCCCTGGTGCTGGTGCTCTTCATCGGCAAGGTAAGGACGCGCGGGGCTCAACTCTAGTAAATAATGTCAGTCGATAATGGGTGATCTACGCCGAGTGTTTGAGCGGTGTTCAGGGCACGGTATGTCACGTGTTCTGCGCGTGTAGCTGTACATACAGGCAGCTGAGTTGCGCCTCTTGGAAAGGCGCACAAATGATGTGGCCTCAGAGAAGCAGCCTCACCATGACCCATATGCCTCAGCGCTACCTTATATCGCATTACGCCTCACGCCCTGTGTCGCATGCCGTGTGATTCACTAAAATTCAGCTAATGCTATTCTAATCGGCTAGCATGTGGCATTTATGGTACATGGTGGCTGTATGGAACTCAAGTGGTACGTGGTGGCTGTACGGAACTCTCAAGTGGTACGTGGTGGCTGTATGGAACTCTCAAGGGGTACGTGGTGGCTGTACGGAACTCGCAAGTGGTACGTGGTGGCTGTACGGAACTCTCAAGGGGTACGTGGTGGCTGTACGGAGCTCTCAAGTCGTACGCATCACTTAAGTCTAATAGTACCTGCGTTAGACGCTGTATCATCATGACGTGTTTGCTCCGTTAAGTCAAATAAGAATGTTCATGAGACTAATCTCTCTCAAGATTCTTACACTTCCTCCCTATTGATCCTTATTCTTATTCTTGATCGGAATATCCTTATTCCTATTCCTACTCGGAATATCCTTATTCTAATTCCTTATTACATCCTCACTTATTTCTGCTCGAGCAGATCGCCGCGGGCACTTGGATCTACCAGAACCAGGACCAGTTCGCCAAGGTGCTGGAGAAGAGCGTCGCGCGCTCCATCCAACATGACTACGGCAAGATCGACGTGCGCACCAAGGCCTTCGACCTCCTGCAGTCCAAGGTATGACCGATACACTTAATATAACTAGTGTACCTCATTATGTACCTCATATGTCCTTATATATGTACACGATCTACCAAATTGATGACTGCCATTTTATATGTCTTGATAATTTGTACATACGACAAAATTGATCTTCCTTCTCCCAGCAATAACTGCAATTCGAATTCTGAACTTGCTGTATTTTTGTTTGCATCAATTGTGCTCGTAAAGTGAGCGCATTCTGCGCTTAAGTTTTCCACTAGTATGATACCATCGCTACCATCATCAATGTTAATACTTGTAAACATTATATACATTAATACATGTATACATTATATACATTAATACTTGTATACATTGGTTTGTTTGGTGCAGCTGCAATGCTGTGGCGCCTCAGGTCCCTCGGACTGGGCCGAGTCTCGCTACAATCAAGCGGACGATAAATCCGCCCTCGAGATCGGCATCGGTAAAGTCATCGGCGTGTACAAGGTGAGCTTGTAATTGTGCTCGACACAAACTTCTGTCTTGCAATAACTAACTTGAAACTTTACTTGATGATTTACATCAGGGGATGAATGATTAGTGTGTTTACTTAGCAAGCTCTCCACATCACGCTAGCATGTTTACAAGTCACCACAGTTGGCTGCAAGAATAATCTTAATTTATACTCTATTAATAATAATAATAGATTTTGATATTTACTAGTTATACAATGACATGAAATTTAAATATTCAGGAGATTTTCCTTGCCAAAAGATTTACAACTTACGATCAATCAAGTTGTTAAAAATGAGTTGGTGATCAAAGTGAACATATTGTAGGTGTTAATAATCACTTTGCTTATGAGAAATTCATTTTCAATCCTTCCATAATACCTCGCATGGAATATTATTATCCTCGCATACCCGCCGTGATACCTCGCATGATACAACGCGTTACATGCATCGTCAGTCATGCGCTCTAACGAAGCGACGTTACTTGCAGGTCCCTGAGTCCTGCTGCAAAGCCACCCTCACTAATGCACCACAATGTTAACGAAGCAACGTTATTTGCAGGTCCCTGAGTCCTGCTGCAAAGCCACCATCACTAATGCACCACAATGTTAACGAAGCCACGTTATTTGCAGGTCCCTGAGTCCTGCTGCAAATCGACCGTCACCCAAGACGACTGCGAGACCAAGCGACAAGTGAGCCTGGCTGCTACCTTCTTAGACCGAGACATCATCTACAGCACAGGCTGCGCCAGCAAGATCATGGAACTCGTCCAGCAGCACGACTACATCGTCCTAGCCGTCGTCTTGGCTATCCTCCTCATCGAGGCTATGGCCATGATATTCTCGATGGTCTTGTGCTGCGCCGTCAGAAGGATCGATCACTTCAAAGCCTAAGTTTTATCACCCGGCCATCATAAACTTCAGGGCTTATGTTGTAAAACCAGGCGATCGACGACTTCAAGCCTATGTTGTAATACTGGGCGCTCGACCACTGCAAGCTTATGTTCCAATTACCGAATATCGGTATCGCATCAATAAGAAAATATAGAAGTTTCATGCGGCCTAAGGGATAGAATTTCTACACTTTGAAGGGATGTTGTAGTCGCTAGTTTGATGTGAACTTTCATTGGGATGTTAAAAAATTGAGAAGGATTTCTGAGTTGGTAGTTTGATGCCATAAAGTTTCAATTGATTAATTTATGATTATACGGAATGGCTGGCAGTAGAGTGAGGCAATCCACTTGAACTTAGAATACAACAACAATCTTAGTGCAAAATCCTGTCCCTTGTACCGGTCCAAAGTATGTTTGTTAAGTTATAAAGTAATGGTGCTCCAGAGGTCTCAGTCTGTGGCTCTGTGCCGGTACGAGAAGCTGCATTTGCTGACGCTGCGGTAATAAGGAAAGCTTTTATCGTGAGACGCGCACTCTATTTTAACACGAGCTCTGGACTGGGCGATGCAAGCTTTATGAAACATCAACGTTTTGATTAATTACCGTTCAAATTGGCCCGATGAAGCGATAAGAAAAAACGATCTTTGTTACCGGTATTGCTTACTTTTTTGTCTTATTAATGAAAGATCTAGACGATTTTATTGTCATTCTATTGTAACGGGAAATCGTACATTTAGAACAATTTACAGTGGCTGCCCAGGAGCATAAACGTTGTAGACGAGGAGAGAGATTTTTTGTCACGGGGTTGACTAGCCGTTTTTTCCCCTCATCAGTTTCTAATTTTCTCTGTATTTAAGATATGAAAATTTTATATCATTTCCATCATGATGTTTGTAGTGCATCCATGTATGATTTTACTAGATTTTCAATCGGGTCTTTATTGGATTTTGTATCGTGTCTTTGCTTGGGGACCCTATTTCATTTTACACGCTGCCAATTTATACGTTACGCGTAATCCGGAAATCTGGTAGTTTAAATGAGTTCTAAATGAGCCACTTTCATTTGAACTAATAATTATCTTAGGTTCGCACTTCTTCCTGAGGAACTTGGCTGCTTACTTTAACCATGAGCGCGCAGTGGACATTGTTCGCTGGAGCGTCCACTTTCTCGTCTCTGTCTCAAATTCCTCGTACGTTCTTGCCGACGGTGTGTGTCGCATTATTTATTGAGCACAAGAATGGCTACAAAGAAAGTGATTTCGCAAGAACACTGATTAATATCTGTGCATTTTACCGCGTTGCGCACAAAAGTCGACTGTGTGCCGAAACTGCATTTTCCTTTGCTTATGATAATCTTAAACTTGATGAGTTCATTATGACAGGCTTACTTCCTAATCAGTTGTTAAGAGCTCTGAAGTTTCAAGTATTTGCCTGTTGGTAGTTATCTGGTCCTCATTTCAGGGAAGTTTTACTTATGCTGCTAGGTCAATATTGATGGTTTATTCTTAGGTTATTTCAACTTGTCATTACTGCCAAATCTTCAGATCGATGTTCAGGAAACACAGCTGCATTCTCTACCTTATGTATTCTTGTGTAGTTCACTTCAATTAATTGCTTCTAAGTAATGATTTGAGGAAACATAAAGCTTCGTCATCAACCGTTACAGCTCTGCTAGGACTGCATTATCTTATTTTAGGCTGAGTTTCTTAGGCTTTATTGACACTGATTTCTCATGCTCTGTGTTTAAAAATCAATTATCAATTTTATGTTGGCACCAGAAATTCTCTTCTATTGCGGCTGATTGTTAATGTAACGCAAACTTGGACACAAGCTTTGCTTGCTGGCCACTGGAGGTACGAATCTCAATGTCTGTATGCTAGCCATGTTCACGGAGCATTGGTTCCTCGATCTTTGTTCTGTAATACTTGTACGTTTTGGATGCTCCGTGTAACTACTCGCTTCTTACTTGTACTTCTTAAGAATCTCGTTTATTGCTACCATCAAGACCTGCTGAAAGATCTGCTTCATTTACCGGTCAGATGTTGAGCCTTCACACTCTAGTATTCTTTTGTATGTATTTTCTCATTCAATAGGTGTAATGTTTTGCTTGTTAAGTTCCACTAAATGTAAGCTTCGGTCAAAATATTCTCAGTTCTAATATAGTTTTAATCGAACTAGCTAGTGTACAGTTATCCTAAAACTACAAAATGTAATGCATCCTTACCTACAAATAAATAACTTGTAGAAATTCTACTTGCGTAACTTAGAGGAAGATCTGGCTCGTATAACGTGAAAAACATCTTTACTTGCTAGCATTTGTGTTTAGTTCGGCGTTCAGATGAGAAGAGATCGTCAGGAGTTCAAATAATGGTAACACGAACCAGATATTTCATTCCCGTGAAAAATTTCCCGTATCGCTTTGCTCCCACTGGTCGTAGTCACGATACTGGGCTAGGTCATGGGTCAGCTCCCTTCGTCAGGTGAAGGTTGTGGTGTTGGTCATCACTTCCATGTAACGCCTCTTCCTGATTCGCCTCATTTAGACTCAATTTCCTCGACTCCAAGACGCTGTTGAACTTTAAATGAAAGGAAATGTCTCAAAGATAAATTTGAGTTATTCACACTTTATACCATTGAACCGAGACCCGCTGTGCTTAATATAGGCGAATGTTTCATCAATATTATTATGCTATTGTTTCTACCATAGTCTCATGCTGGTAAGGCTGCCACAGAGTTCAAATGGATATTATTATGCCAATGCTGCTTGAGACCTCATGCTCTAATAAGTCTTAAGATTTCCTATATTGCACTAAGTTACTTTGGTGTAATCGTATACTTGCGATTACTCACGTCTCAAAACGTGACGGCAAAATACTTTTTTTTAGATCAACTTTATTTCACGTCGACAATAGATCTGATTTCACTCACGAAAGCTCTAATCGTACGTCATACGGTTTATTTAGCGTGTATAAATGTGTGTAAAGTTCTCTATATTTACTTAATTCTATGGTACCGACTTGTCGCACACCCGTCACGGCCTCCGCACTTCTGCTGGTTAGAAGGAAATTAGCGCCGGTGTAGCGAAATGTGGACAGAGTTTCTCGTGCGATCAGGACAACAAAGCTTCACTACAGGCTGAGAACGGGACGTTGTGTGCGCTGGTTAATAGTTTAGATTTAGCTAATATGGAACTATAAGTGGACGGTATATTGAAGATATTACGTACGAGACTTTTTCATGTCTATAATGATGGAGAGATGAACAGCAACTCTCATTAGTTCATACTATTAGTCCAATTTATTTCGCTGTTGTTAATCAATCTGATAGATGTATGATTTGCCTATTTACCGTCTTGACGGTTCTGTACCTACCAGCTACAGCACAAAAAATAAAACCTTAAATTATTTCTAAGAAGACCTTTGTTTTCATATTTGGGATCGGAATAAGCGATTGTGGTTTTACCAGGAAAAGTTTAGAGATTTTTTGCGGTTCAGGGCTGCACTCCACGGTGTACCGTGATCCATGTGAGACACTTCTCTTTACCGTGGAGTATTCACACCCATGGTGCAGTGTACCGTGATCCATGTGAGACACTTCTCTTTACCGTGGAGTATTCACACCCATGGTGCATGTTAGTATACCGCCGGCCACCATACGTGTGCACTAGCCCTGCCAAGTACCGTGATGTCTTGAAGTACATTGTACGAACGTACTCAAATTTATTGACGTAAAACTTTGCGAAACTGCATTTATATGAACGGCACATCCATTTACGCCATCGATATAATTGATCTGTTCTCTTCTATATTGAGCGCGAATTACATCATAACAAGAGAGAACACTCATATATATGTGTACACTCGTATATGTATATGGATGCATTATGTTTTATATATGGGTATACCGTATAATGGATGCATCATTATTACCGCACCTGCAAGATGATAGTTGCAAATTTGCTAGGCTGATAATATTTCTGCGGCGACAAGGCCGAGATCAGGCGTTTCATCGCAGCATATTTCAGACTCACATATTGAAGATACTTGTACTGATGTGGCCACTATATTCCCTCGAATTTCTGCTACCTCGTCAATAGCATCTGTCTCAGAATAGCAAGGCTATTGTTAGGCTGGCCACTTCTTTGTAAGCATTTATCCACGCAGATTTGCTATAACCTGATGTGGGAGGTAACTTAGGATACTATTCGGCCATGAAAACTTAATAGAAATACCCAAATTATGATTTCCATTGATATCTTTTTAGGGACAAAACGTTCATTATTCATTGTGTCGGAGAAAACGTTGATCATCAATTCCCAGATCCGGACGCCAATGTTGTCGTTCCCAAGAAGAATGTCTAGTCGTTCTACGAGCTTCTTCCTCATCGTTAAACTATCATTCTTTTCAAGACTGAACCTTTGGCGCTATGCCTAACTGGCAGTGGCGAAAACGCTTTCTAAGTTTCAATTTACTTTTCGAATATTTTTTTTTTTGTAGAAAATGTTGTCATATCCCCTCATGAAGCGCCGGCGATCAGGCGCAGTAGTGAAGGCTTGAATGGGAACTTCTGATGAGTGAAGAGTTGCAGTTACTGAAGAGAAATTATTGTTAGTTACTCGGTTTGTTACATGGCCAGTTGTCATCTCGCTGCCGCTCATGATCATCAGTCCTATGAGTATGATCGTTGCGGAAATTCATCCCTTAAGTCGCTTATCAATTTGTACAACTCGTGTCACTTTCCTCGCGTTTGAAATTTGACTTCGCTCCAAACCTGCAGTCTGCACTCTGCAGTGAGCATAGATAGCGAACAACGTAATTCTCGTACCATTGTCAAAGAAACGTTAGTGCGAGCTGCAGTTCCTCTCTGAGTTGCACAACTAATTGTATTCACAGCTCGGGCGAATCATCAAGTATGAGCTCTAGTGACAGCGCGGATCTTCACTGCGCTGACAACGTAACGCGACTGCCTGGTGTGTCTAAAGCTCTTAACTCTTGTAAGATTAGGTCATCTCCGACACTCATGTCGCCTGTGTTCTATACGACCTATTCTGCAACCCTTTATTGGATGCCGGTGGGTGAGGGTCCCATGCTTGTCGTGGAAATGCAATGGTTCCTCTGAACCTTGTAATGATGCTCATTGTTGGATGAAGCTAACATAACTAATGTGAACAACAGGTTTTGTGACTCGCACTGCGTAGATTAGTCCGCTGACCACGCACGGAAGACTACAGGTTCTGGGGTGGCAGGGAAGTGGTTTGGTGCAGCAAATTGGGCGGCAGGAAAGTGATTTGGTGCAGCAAATTGGGCGGCAGGGAAGTGGTTTGGTTCAACAAATTGGGCGGCAGGGAAGGGGTTTGGTTCAACAAATTTGGTGGCAGGGAAGTGGTTTGGTGCAGAAAAACGATAGAATTTTCCAGCGGCTGACAATAAGTATGTATGAACACTATAGGTCGATGCCGGGCCAGCCTCACGCATACCCTCTACGTGACAGTATTTTTTCTTGTCACGCGGTCGCTTACCTTCGTCGATGTAATCTTAATTTAAGCCTAGCATTAAGACAACATTTCTAGCATATGTATATATATACTCCATACGTACAGATACAAACCCATATTGACCGAAGACTAGTTAACGGAATCCTTTATTTGTTCCTCACTCTCTTACATTCAGTGTTACTTTATGTGTTCATTTATGTAATTCTTATCCGTCATTTGCTGTTTCAGGCTCGGATGTTTTTTGTTGTCCACATTTCATAAATTGATCAAACACTTTTCCTGAATTGGTAAAGTCAATTATCCTGCATAGTTAGCGTCCTCTCCTTGAATGTCTCGTCGTTGACATCGGTTGTGCAGGAATCTGCTTGGGGCGTCCTCAGAATTATCGTCCTCCTGAATATTGCCGAGTTAGTGTGGAAAATTGTGGATATTTTGAGCAGTGGATATTCATTTTGTGGATATTCATGAGCAGTTCTTCAGTCGCAGTATCTAGGTTACCAGGGCGTTCAGCGAACGCCCTGGAACTCACATTGTCACATTCATGAAAGATTTCGAATAAAATCATATTAATTTTAATAGTAGCGAAAAATATTTGGGAAAACTTTCGCTCTATGAATGTAATTATAATCCCGTCGTCACTGAGATATTTTGGTATTACAGTTTCGTCGGAAGCTTCAAAACACTTAAAGCTGAACAATGTTTTCATCTCTTGTCATTTTGTGAAATTTTAACGTATATTTTCTTTGATATGTGCTATCTTTTGGTTCATGTTGCTTCTTTATTTTCGATTTTACTTATTGAAATACAAAATGAGTTATCCCCTGTCTTTGCTTGAATACCTAAAATATTTAGTTTATTAACAAATGTCTTGCGTCTAGAAAAACTTTATTTGTCCTGCATTAAATTTCTCTATGAATGTGAATAAAATTAAAGTATTTCTGCGCACTCGAGCGTGTTTTGCCGACAAGTTTATGATGTTATGACATCGTTGATAAATTTTGAGGTAAACAGGTGTGGGCTAACAGGTGTGGGCAAACAGGTGTGAGCTAACAGGTGTGAGCTAACAGGTGTGGGCTAACAGGTCAGGCTAGGTGACTCCCTTGACAGCAACTTCCACCGTGCTGGAGGAACCCACCAGTATCGTCATCGTGCAGTGACCCGACATATCCGACCGATGATAGCGGAAGCCTTCATCTCTACGGATTGGACCCGCAGCAATCCATCTCATAACTACCGGATTTTCTGAACCTTGAGACTTTCAAAATTATTATCACTGTTTCAAATTTTCGTGTTGTATCATATTTACGTGTATCATGTACTTATTTCCGCCTAAATTTCAGTATTCAATGCTTCCTACAACTTGAAAATGAATGTTGTCACATGCGAAACGTCGTTAATAAATTAAATTACTTCCTTGAACCTGAATTTTGATCAACCAACGTCATCTGAAGAATATTGTTCGATCCTGAAAATCTAAATCAATTAGTTCGCGGGTCCCTAACCACCCGTGTTTAATTATCCCTAACCACCCGCTTATTCGGCTATCTTATGCAGATATGCAGAATCAGAATATATATATAATATATATATATATATGAAATCTACAGACTCCGAAAAGTATCTGAACCGACCTCAGAATATTTTAATCGAGCAGCTACATCTCAAGAACATCGATGAATTGATCTGGCTCCGTGACACCCATGACCACAACGTCAAACCCCGGACTATACTGAGCAACGGCCATTGCAAGGAAGTGGGAGTTCTGCGAGAGACTGGTGTAATATGTAAATTTTGCCCCAAAGAAGGTTGTAGACTTCTTCGTTATTTGGATTGCATTCGGGTGATTGCATTAACACTACGAGTGTCTACGGCATTGGACAGCCGTTTCTCCTACCAGAGACAAGCTCAAAACCAGACCAGGTCTCTAAGTGTCACAATCGAGCAGCATCATCTCAAGATCGTCGATGAATTCGACAGCCTCCGAGACACCCTTGGCAACAAAATCAAAACCCGGACTATACCGAACAACGGCTCCTGCAAAAAAGCGAGAGTTCTCCAAGAGGCCGGCGTATTCTATAAATTTTACTTCGAAGAAGGTTGTAGACTTCTTCACGTTATGGATTACATTGGAGTTATATATATTGGAGTGACAACTGCGACATTGAACTGCCGTTTCTCTTACCACCAGAGACAAGCTCACTACCATACCAGGTCTCAAAGCATTATTAACAAGCAAGTTCATCTCAAAATCGTTGATGAATTCAACAGGCTTTGTGACACTCTTGACAACAATGTCAAATTCCAAACTAAACGCAACAAAGGCCCCTGCAAAAACGCGGCAGTTATCCGAGAGGCCGATGTAGTCTATAAATTTTGCTTCAAAGAAGGTTGTAGACTTCTTCATGTCTTAGACAACATCGGACAAATTGAACTAACAATCAAGACACCGAGCCGCTGTCTCGTTAACTACCTTCAAACTGGAGGGCAGGTGAACCACGCGAGACAAGCTTACAACCAGACCGTCACTCGCATTGTGCTGAAGGTACTCATCAGCATCGTGATCAAGCATTGGCCCGACAGGGGAGCGCAGCCGTGCACCACCAATTTTGTGCACCAATAAGCCCTGAATCGAACGCCTTGGATCTCTCCGGACATTCGCCAATCAGCCGTGAACCACTCGGCTTTGTCTTCCTCCGGCCTCGCATAGAACCTGCCCTGCACCACCAGGATCGAATCTGACTTCCGGGCATCGTTAAATTACGTAATTTTACGTTCACCGCATCTGAGGTTAGGTTTCAGATAGCATAGTTCTGTTCCAAAATTCATCGTCCTTCGACAAGTGGCCGTTCGACCGAGGGCTGGTTGGACCTACGGCCTAGATACGGACGGCTTGAAGTGTTGAAGACTACGTTCCGGAAGGCAGGAATCATGATGGTCCATTACATCCAGGGCAGTGGTGGTCTTCGGCAGGCGACCCGCCCGACAGCAACCGACCGGCGATAGCTGAACCAAATATTTTCTAACTACTGGATTTGTCTGAACTCTGAAAGAATTTTCCAAGTAATTTTTGGTCCAAAATTTTACTGTTGTATCCTATTTACTTATGTTATGTACTTATTGCCACCAAAATTTCAATGTTTAATTCTTCTTCTAACTTGAAAATGAATGTTTGTTGCATTCGAAACGTCGTTATTAAATAAGAATTACTTCCTGAAACTTGCCTTTTAATCGACTGTCATCTCAAGAAAAGTTCCACTCACTGATAATATAAATCAGCGATTTCTCTGTTCATCGATCGCACGTGTATAAACAAGTAAATCCTGCCATCTAATATTAATAATATATTAGTATAGTTAGGCAGAAGTTTATCTTTTATGCAAGGTTTATTGAAGACCAGAGCGTATTTCTTTCTTATTAATGATTTTCTTATTAATTTTTAACGTTAAACGTTAAATCTGATGTCAATTTGTTCGGTTGGAGATAATAAATTTTATTTCATGTCATAATATTCTCGAGCCGAAAGTAAACTAATTCAACTTATGGATGTGAACCAGAGCTTACGATCCTTGCGATTGACAGCTTCGGGATCATGAAGCAATGCAATCACTTTATACACAGTTTTTCCTATAAGTACAAAAAACTGCTGATGAAGATTGTTAAATTCAGACTATATAATACAAGAAAAATTTTTTTCTTGTATTATAGTCTGGAATATATATTATAGGAACTTTTAAATTACGAAAGCTGTTATCAAGAAAACCGTAAGAGACATTTATTTAGATGGTTTCCCATGTAATTTAAATAAGCACTGCTCCTTGAGCAACTGATTTCAACACTCGAGTGTCATGATCATCTACTGGATTTCTCTCGTGAACGCTGGACAACAAAGATTTATGAATCTGTAGCCCTATTAATGACCCATAAGTTCGTAAAATGACCAGCTTGTAGGAGCATATCGCATTTCAGAACACCATTGCAAGACTGCGTGTTACCCATTGCGGTATCACTCTGCCGAGAAAAATGGGGGTGCCAATATTTAAATGGATCGTGCCAGAGGGCAAAATATAAATTTCTTTGCATGTTAACACGTTGATTGCGGCACGCCCCACATGTGGCTTGAATGGTCTTTTTCCTGACAAATTCCGCCACTTATTTTTTTTCAATGGCTTTGGCCGAAAAAAAATTATGATATCGGTGCTTCTTATTAAATTACAAAAAGCACGGAAGAGAGGAAATTACATTTTTGCACTGGAACTTACACATTTTCTAGTATTTATTGATTTATAGGCATTTTTTTCAGCGGACTTGACCTTTTTTAGGCCATCAGGCAGCCCTGTTAGGTCATGCAGCACTCACCGTGTTAAAGTATTCAGAAACGCTAGTGTTAGTTTAACAACTTTTCCGTCATGGCTGCACGCTCGCCATCAATGCGTGCTGCTAACAATCATCAGGAGCCCGAAAAGTCAATACAGCGCATGCCTGGCTCTCCAATATATTCTCGAGGTGCGCGATGCAACTAGAAACAAACCAATTTAATTTTCGCCTAAATTACTATAGCACCGAATTGAACTTTGTGAAGGCTAGACCAATACATGCTAAATGAAATGTAAAGATGTTACATTTCATTTAGTACATTTACCTGTTATATATACCGTTTAAATGTTTGTCGTGAAGCCCAAATATTGAACATTCATTTTTTTATGAAAACTATTAATCTTCCTCTTTCCATTAGGGTAAAAATTATTCATTTTTAATTTATCCTTGAATAAATACGAATTTATTAAATTGAGTCCATCATTTAGAATAACCATGTTTATTATTTCAAATTTTATTTAATCGTTCATAACTCACATGTCCTATGGAGATGAAATGTTGAAAGGCTGGTGAGTTGAAGCTAGGTCGCTGAACTTCCAGAGCGTTGAAATTGTTAATACAGTCTCAATGTTTAGGCTCTCATATTCTCGTTGCCCTAGCACTCTCAATCAATAGCGACGAGCATACCATACCCCAACCTTCTTTGTCAAGTCTGCGGCATGACTAATTCTAGCTTTCATGTGAGTATATAGCTGCGTCGTGTTGACGAGTCAAACATACTCCATTCCTGACCCATTATCAACCTTGCTAACTTTATCAATTCCATTATTACCTCGTCAAATTTAAATTAGCCCCACTAATTCAATTTATCCATCATTCATAAGCCTTTGCCCCATTATCCCCATCCTATTTATTCATCATCAACTCATTTCAGCTTATTAACTTAACGCCATGACGTGATGGGCATCTGTCCTGTTAATCGTTGGCTTAGTTAAAAAAAACACGAATTTACAAAGAAATCAAATTCTATGATTTTAAAATGTGCGATATAATTGGCCAATCAAACAAAACAAGGTGCAAATGAAAGATGAAACGAGCAGAGAATTAAATAAAATGCAGATGATCGGAATCAACCACATTTAATTATGACAGCAAAATAGAAAGAAAAAATCACATATCTTACGTATAAAGCGTACAAACAACTTCATTTGTTTCATCAGTTAGCCCTGACCTTCATTATTAGTATTGTAACACAGGCAACTGCCTGAATATTCCATTGCCATCGATTAACGAAGATAATAAACATGATAATAGAGTGACATTATTACCAAATTTATAATATAATATATTATTATCATATAAATAATATAATAAATTGTGAGAATTTTATTAAGCATACACATCGATCGCTCCCCTGTACGCGGTCACACTGCATGGGACAGTCGCTATGGAGACTTAGGCATCGTCATGTCCCCATGTTGTATATTAATTAACTCTATACATTC